TTCTGTGGCATTTATCACAAGCGGAAAGTAATCAAATCTAACGTCCTGAATAATTTCAAGTCTGATAACAAAATTCTGTCTACCTTAACCTCTCTAGTTAAAGCAGATGCATTTTTTTTTTTGGTTTCTGCACTGAACAGGTATATGGACCCATCAATCTCAGTTTCGCGTCATCTTCTCTTCTGAATAACTGCAATACTTGTTGTATATCTGTTTCCCAAGCAGCAATGTGAAACAAATTCCTTTCCATTTTGTTGTTGTTCTTATAGTTTTGAATAGCAGCAGTGTTTCTAACCTTAGGCTTGTTTAGTTTTGACGCTACTTGGGCATGCAGTGAGCATTCGCAAAGGTGAGAAGATCCTTCAAGCCTGTGCATTTTATTTATGCTTATTGAAACAGTCAATTGATATAATTACTTTTTTGTGAGACAGTGGAGAAAGCAAATTTAACATGCTATACTAGGTATGCATAACTTATTTCAACTGGATTGGTCCTTTGTAGTTGTATATGAATATTTCCTGTTCACAAAACCAGTGATCCAAACACCTGGTCCGCTGCATCTTTAAAAGGGTTTGCAACCTAGTATATGACCTCTAGAAAAATTTATATATTTTTTTTTATTTTCCTATAACCACCTGTAAAAGAATCCTTAGACCTGGAACCTGCTACCTGAGGAAGGAGCCCATAAGGTTACAATTTATGTAGCATGTCCAAATTGTTGAATAGAAGTGAAAATAGCCTTGGAAGTGAAGGAGAGAGGGCTGGAATAACCCCTCTTGACCTCACCTGATCTGCTTATAGCTTGCCTGCTTTGTCTAGACTCTGTAGTAATTGGTTTATGGTGATCCTGGGGAGTACAAATGTTTTGCTTGTATAACCCGTTGTTAGTGGCCAAGTAGTTGCAGGCTAAATTTTTTGTTCTCTTCTAAATGGTGATAGATTCTCACAAATAGCTTTGTCTCTCACCATATTCAGATTTTCCAAAGTCTGCTCTAGAAAAGAGAGTGGGCAGTTTGAATTTGGTTATGTCGACTGGAAATGTGTCAGAACCTGAACAGAAGTTGCAGGCAAAATATTTTTCATATGCTTCCAAGTTTTTCCAAGCATGGTGACAAAATAAAAGAGAGTGCCTTTTCACACTGCAGTCATTTCTGAAATGCTTTGCAAGTCGAGTTAAATACAGGTAGCACAATATGTATGCAGGCAAGCTGAGTTACTATTATGTTATCAACAATAAGCCTGCACAAAGCAGTGGATGTTAGAACATGCCTTGTTGAAGAATGAATGACACCTGGAAACTTGGGTGTTTTAAAGTGTCTCTTACTTATTTTGCACTTCTTGCCTCAAAGGTTTGCAAAGAAGTGAGAGTAAAAGAGAGATTGTGTGCGTGTGTGTAATGATTTTAAACTAGCCTTCTAAAATTCTACTTTTGTGGAACAAGCGAGCGTCTCTAGTGGGCGAATAAAATATTCTTGGCTTTCACTATTGCTATGATCACTCTTGTCATTGTGGCATAGGTGAGTGGGTAGATTTTTTTTTTGGGTCTGGACTGGAAAATGTTGATGAGAGTTGGGCCTGGGCTGGAAAATTTTGATGCAGAGCTGCTTTGAACAGTTCTGGGGTCGAACAAGGCAGCTGTTAAACAGCACAAGGCAACAATTTAGAACAAGTGGGGAATATGCTTTCACGTTGCAGCAAAGGAAGCTTAGGTTAGATGTTAGTAAAAACTTTCTCACTAGGAGGGTAGTAAATCACTGGAACAGACTATCCAGAGTGGTTGTTGGGATCCCCATCCTTGAAGGTGTTTAATACCCAGGTAGACAAAGCCTTGGCTGGGATGATGTAGTTGGGGCTGGCCCTGCTTTGAGCAGGGGGTTGGACTAGGTGTGACCTCCTGAGCTCCCTTTCCACCGTCGTTTTCTATGATTTTATGAATGCTAGTACATCTAACTCATGTTGTTGGTTGGGGGAATTAAAGGTCAATGGAAAACAACTGCCCATTTTGCTGAAGTGCACACCCTTCTACGCATCTTTGTCTGTAAGTGGTCAGACCTTAGGCTAGCCAAAGTACATTTCGCATCAAGATGATTTTCAAGTTTTCAACGTTGGATTTTTTTTGTCCCATATTGCAACAAAAGCAAGGCTCTTAGAACATTTTCACAAAATTGACTTTTGTCTGAACAGTTGTTTTGAAGAAAAAGGCGGGTTTTCTTTATTTGGGTGTGTTTCTCATTGGAGGTGACCTATGATACCTTTGTATCAAAACAGGTCTCCAAAATGTTTAGCTTTCATCATCAGAATGTTTAGTCAAAAACAATGTCATGCCAGCTTCAGTCAGGACCACTTTTGTGTATTATTTTAAAAGTGGCACATGTGGGAGCATATAGCACCCCATAGCACAATACTAGGGTGTTTTCACTCAGGAGACTTAGAAGGTAGAGTAGTGCTCGGTTAGTCATTACCACTTCTTACAGAACTCTGTATTTAACTTTGTCTCCCATCCAGGTATTGAACAGATATGATTTTTAGCTGGCTTTTAGCATCTGATGAAATAGTTTATGTATTTCTCAGCCTTAAGTGCCAGGAGCTCTTCAACTCCTACCTAAGCTGGCAACAAAGGTTAGAAAGGAGTGTGAAATAGCCCATTAAAGGATATCATTTCTAACAGGAGTTCTTACTTTAATCCTGTAGTGCATTGTAAGTAACACTGAGTTGTTGCCTTGCTGCTTATGGTTTTATTTGAACCTACAACTTTCAGACCTAGCAGCAAAAGTGCTTCCCACAAGCAGCATCTACATGTAAAGGTGACATTAATGTATTAAGATAGGCAGCAAGTATGCAGTAAATGGCTCTGTTATAACCTTACTGTGCATACTTTTAAAAATAGAGAAGAAAATTGCATTTTTTTATTTAATTGAAATTGATGGAATGTCAAGACATATCTTTATGTTGGATTACACAGCAGGCAGTGGTTGGTTGGCTGGATGTAAAATATGTGGAACTTCTCCTACTTTTCAAGGCCTCCTCTCTGAAATATGGGGAGGAAAAACGTGCAGTGTGTCTAATCCGTATGCTTTGAAATAAGTTATGCCAGTTACTTGCCGGCAGTCTCCTGCACCTAGTTGGGATTCTAGTCTGAAAAGTTGGAAAGAAACAGATGTGCGGTTCCAAGTAGGATGGCAATCGAACTCGGTTCCTTTCACGTATCAGTACCAAGAACCAGTATTCTCCCAACTAACTCATCCCCATATACATATGGGCTCCTCCTGCATCTTCACACCAAATGCTCAGGTACATTTGCACAATTAATTACAGTCCCTTTCCCATGGCTTGCTTTATCTTGTATGGCAAAATACAGTGCAAGTGAAGGTTAAAATATATCTGGACACCAAAGCAAACTGGTGAGACTGAATATATCCAGGGAGCCTGCCTAATGAGCAGAAAACTGTGAGCTTTAAATATTTGTTTTTGGGGGTACAGCTGCATTCCCAGGGCATGATCTTGTAACATGCTGAAAGCCCTTGCTTTCACTTCACTAGCGGGGTCTTTGCTGAACACAGAGTTATTTGAGTTACCAGGTAATTGTGTAGTCAAGTGCTCACCAGTGTAGGCGCTGAATTTCCCTTGCTGCTTTCACTCTCCTACCTGCCCCACTTTATCCAAAAAAAAACCATAAAAAGTTTGCCAGACATCCAGAAGTATCAGATCTTTAACCACATTTTGATTAAATGACAGCTATATTTCTGGTTCAGAATTCAGTTCCTTAGCACCGTTAAAATCCTGCTTTGGGTGAGGATGAGTCAATAGGTGATGATTAACATGCAATAATGCCAAATGAAAGGATTTTTAGAGGACAGATTTAAAAAAAAAATATGTGCACACAGACGGTTGCTTTCAAATATACGGTGGGTGGATTTCATTGGGGGAATATCCGAGTTTGTGTTTTCACCTGCCTTGTTTTGCATGTTCCACTTTCATTTTTGTTTGGAGGAGAAAACATCAACACAGCTGTTATGTGCATTCTTGTGGCAAATTAGACCCTTGGGCTGTCAGTGCTGTATGCATCCCTGGAGTCCAGTTTGAATGCACTCTAGCAGGATGACAAGAGGAGAACTATTGACAGCCCAGGAATATCTTCTGAAAAAGTCATTCTCTGTCAGTTCAGCAAAATGTGGTTATTTATTAATTTTGAATGCTATGAAAATTATACAATTGGGGTTGTGAAGAAGTTTTAAGAGGCTTGAGTTTTTAATTCAGCATTTTGTTTCTCACTGTCATTCGTTCTGCTTGCAGTGCCAGTAACAGTAATTGAGAGATGGTTACCGTGAAATGCTTGTGTACAGAATGCCATATTTGTTCAAGATGCATCCTGGTCTTTTTGAACATTAATGGGAATACGAACATGGTACATAGTGTAACACCAGCTGCATTTATGTCACTGGTTAGTTTTATTTGGGGCTTGAAAGAGAAGTTCAGCATGCAGCTGTCACTGTCACGTTTCTGGCACTTGGTTCACAGGTAGTTATTTTTGACTTGACTCTTCACATGGAGGTTTCAGGACATTGTCCCTAATAAGAGCCGTGCTTGAATTTCAGGTGGGCCAGCTCGTTCCTGATAACTCAGCCTTATGGCTGATCATCTCATTTTGTTGTGCACTTTAACAAACACAGAAGAAATGAGTTCCTTCTTCAACTTCTGCTAAATATCGGACAGCCTTGTGCACTACCTTTATGTAAAGGTTTCTCTGATGAAGATGCTCGAAATCCCCAGCTGTTGACACAGTATTAAGTATCCTGGTTAAGGCAGGCTACTTAATAAAACAGACATTAGAAAGATAGCGCAGCATAATTGAACGTGTTTCATGTTTTCCTTATGCAGGGGTTTAACAGCAGGAATGTGCTTTCTAGCAAAAACATCCTGGTAATGAAGATTAAACAACAAAACGGGCTATTTGAAGTGCTGTGAGTTGTAACCTGCTTGCTCTGGTTGCTCTTTTACAGTAAACGAATTCACAGTGATCAGAAAGAAATTCAAGTGCCCGTACTGCAGTTTCTCTGCCATGCACCAGTGTATCCTGAAGAGACACATGCGATCCCACACAGGGGAGAGACCCTATCCTTGTGAAATCTGTGGGAAAAAATTCACACGCCGGGAGCACATGAAACGGCACACCTTGGTAAGTAGGTGTCTTTGAAGTTGCTGGAGCGAGTGGTGGTTGGGAAACAGAGATGGTTTGTTCAGATCAAGGATAATAAGAGCTTCACCTGGCTTAGATTTAGGTTTTGTTCTCCCCTCTGGGGTTCCTCTGAGCCTCTTTATGGAGCTCTGAAGACTTCTCTGTGCTTTTCCCTCACCTTTCAAAGGCCCAGTGTTTTGCTGACTGTTCACCCAGAGCTAATCAACACCTGCTCAGCCAGAGGGTTCCCGAAGAGCTACTGGAAGTAGTCTGCACTTCCCACTTAGTGCTCCTAGCCGCAAGGTGAGGGCTTGAGCTAGAATCTCTCACTGTCTTCATGTAGCATACCATTTCTTCCTAATGCAGTGCAGGCTGCCGCAGAGAACCTATGTGTGCACGCCTGAAACCAGTGTAAAGCAACAAAGCCTTTGCTGCTTTCAGTTCCTTGATCTTTTACTAAGGATTAAAGGGACTATGTTACCTTATTTAGCCCATTTTTTGGTTTAAAAATAGCTGTTAAAGGCTCTTGACTCCAAAGTTCAGTAGAAATATTTCTATCTCTAGTGCAAGTGTTTAAATGAGTAATGTTGTCCCTGCAAGCTTTGCAGGCCACATTGCTCCAATGTGCTAGCACTGCTGGGACCCACAGTTTTGGCAGGCGTGCTGCAAATTAGCTCAATACCCTCCCTGAGGGCCACTCCCACCCCCTTCCCCTGCCCCATCTGCTGCTCTGCTTTCTGCTCCGTTTCCTATCTGCCATTGAGATGCCTGCCCCATGCCCAATCTACTGCCTGTTGCACAGAGGCTGCCCACACCACTTGGGGCACTGATGTCCCAGGTTGGTCACCCCGTGCCAGCAGATAAGAAATTAGAATTGGCAAGACGCACAAAGATGTCCCTGACAGATGTTGGGGGGTTTTGTTACTGTCCAGCTAAAGAGAAGTGCTGAATTTTGCAACAGCCCGAGTTCTAGTATTGAGGTAAGGACATTATTTTTCAAAGAACATTTAAAACTTTTTGTCACTACTGCCCTGCACGTGTGACTTGTTTTGTCTCCTCTTGCCTTCTGAAACCACGTTCAGTTCCCATTTCTGGGAAGAATGATGATATCATCAGCTGGTAGCCAGTTGTCTGCCTGCAACAGATGCCAATGTAATGGCATAGCTTGCCAAATGGTGGTGTACACACAGGGTGGGCAGTTAGCCCGTACCACTTAAACCAGAATGATCAAGGGGCTTATGTTATCGGTTGCTATGGTATTCAGAGCCTCGCCATCTTTTCCTTCCTTCCATGAGTATCTGTCCATTCGGATGAGTGCCCAGCCATCTGGTCTGGGGACTGACTGCTCCCTGAGATGTCCCTTTATTATTTCCTTTGGGTGTTAGTCTTCTGGTGTTCAGTAGGCACATCGAAACAGTATGGTTAGTCTCCCTGCAGACACAAAGGTTTTTAGGCCTGTTGTTAGTTCTGCAGTTATAGACACCTTGTCTTGCCAGCTGCTTCCGGGTCTTTTTCATTCTGGGAACGATTATTTTCTCATAACTTTTTTTCCCCAATATCCCCACTTCCCCATCAGACAAGAAAGAATTCTGAAAATAGGATTAATTTTTTTATTGTATAAAGAGTGCATATATAACCTTAATTAAGTTCAGAGATGGAGCTTTTTTCATAATCCATGAACAGTGCTTGGGAATGTTTGCTGGTCCTGAAAACATCTGTAATGATCTAGTCTGTGCAGGTCATGAGAGAGAATTTACAAGGAGCATCCATCTGATTAATAGCTTGCCTGCGTTTGTTCAATTCTAAGATTGCTGGGAGTTCACTCCATGAAATGCTG